TGTTAAATCTTCAAAAGCAGGTATTTGCCATTTTATTTTATTAGTGTATGCTTTCAACAATTTTCTTGGTCATGAGTTCAGTTTGGCTATAGAGTTTAGACTAAAGAACATTTTGAGATAACATTTTACGACTGTTTGAATATCATTTAAAAATGTCGTCTTTGTGTTGCCTTATGTTTTGTTTCATAATGAAGCATCTCTGGTTAAATATCATTGTCTAGCGTAGGCAAACCCTGGAGTTGTGTACTCAAGTGAAGATTGGCTGAGTCTTAGAATTCTGGGTCCTCAGTTGCTCACACAGAATAGTTTGCCGCATATATCAAATGATTAACAACAACACATCTCAATCCCAAACAAGTTTAGATCGGCTTAATGAATTCTCACTTTCATTCAAGCTCAATTCATATCATCATCATAATAAATAAAATTAATGTTAAAAATAAGTTAATATATTGTAGTAATAATAATAATAGAAGTTCTTTAACAAGTCAAAAACCTATCCTCAACTAGCTATCAAACAACTACTTAGCAGCAATTCAAAACCATTCAACTTCTATTAATTCGCTGGCGAAGAAGTAAACTATCTAGGAGAAAGAAACACAAGTATATGTCAACAACTAAAACACACCCACTGTAGTCTCACAAATTGGAGTTTGGGGAGGGTCAAGTACACGGAACCTTACCCCTACCTCAGAGGTAGAGAGTTTGTCTTCAATAGACCCTCGGTTCAAGGAAAAACAATCCAAAGCAATCTAGAAAAAGAAGTAACAAAATGACAAGAAACATCAGATAATAACTAAAACAGAACTACAATGAAACAATACGATAATCGAGGTACAATGAATCAACAAATAGTAACAAAAATCGAAGGACAAGAAACTACAAGTGTAATTCTATGACTACTAATATGGACGGACAACAAGACAATGCATTGCTACCTACTACTCTTTTATCCTAATATGTGACCTCTACACCCTCTTATCTAAGGTCATATCCTCAGTAAGATGAAACTTTGTCATGTCCTGTCTAATCACCTCTTCCCAATACTTCTTCAGTCTACCTTTACCTCTCCTAAAATCATTCATACCCAACCTCTCACACACCACCGCACTGGGGCATCTGTGCATCTCCTATCACATGCCCAAACCATCTCAATTTTTCTTCATGCATCTTGTCCTCCACTGAAGACACTCCTACCTTGTCCCAGATATCCTCATTCTTAATCTTATATCTCCTAGTATCCCCCCACATCCATCGCAACATCGTCATTTCCACAACTTTCTTCTTCTGAATGCGAGAGTTCTTGATTGGCCAGAACTCCGCTCCATACAACATAGTTGATCTAAATAACACTCTGTAGAACTTGCCTTTTAAGTTTTAGTGGCAATTTCGTATCACACAAGACTTTAGATGTGAGCCACTTCATCCACCTTGCACCAATACGGTGAATAACATCCTCGTCAATTCCATTTCCTTGGATAATAAACTCAAGGTATTTGAAATTTTCTCTGTGATTTGTGTATCAAGTCTCACTTTCACGGTAGCTTCATGCATTATGAACTTGCACTCAAATGCTTTGTCTTGGTTGTGCTCAACCTGAATTCTTTAGACTCTATGGTTTGTCTCCAAACCTCCAATTTAGCATTAACTCCGCCGCGAGTCTCGTCCATGAGAACTATGTTATCCTACATAACCTACACCATGGCACCTCACCTTGAATTTTTCGTGTTAATTTATCCATCACCAAGGCAAATAAAAATGGGATATTTGACACAAGTGTATGTTAGATATCCCAAAAAGAGTTTGAAGTTTATCTGACCAATTTGTCTCTTATGCTTTTGCAGTATATTATTTTCCATCATTTCTGATTAGATGGACTTCCATTTTCATCTCTCTCTCTTTCTCTCTCTCACACACACACATTTTGGTTCAAAACCATTTCCCCCCTTCTGTGTATGTATTGTTTTCATACGTGTTTGGAGCTGCCTCATTTGTAAGGTTAGAGCTTCAATGACGACAGTTTTCACTTCTTTCTTATCAGAAAAGGCCAATGGCCCAATTTTGATAATGCTTGTCTTGAAAATCAGGTACAATACAAGGAGGCAGAAGGCTCATCTTATCGGGAAGGTTCATATTCTGAAACACCTGGTACACCTCCTAAGGTGAGGATGCTGCTTATAACTCTGTAACGAACCTCTTTCCTTTTTCTAAAAAACTATATTTGTTTTAAGTAGTTTTTGGTGTTCCATGAGATGAATTAGATAAAAATATTTCTTTTTTGTTTGTGAGTAATGGAGTTGATATCTGCTTGTTGACAGCGTGCGCAACGTGCTACGGACCAAGATAGAACATTCATTCCCGATTCTACAAGTTTTGGAGGTAAGCATATGACAGAAGTACTTGGGCTGTCGTCTGTTAAAGGTTTACTCCATTATGATCAAACTGTTCTCTCTGTTTCATTCAAACTCAAACATCATCTTTTGTGCCAATAATTTTCATGTTCTATAGGGGAAAGAGCTGGTAAAAAGGACCAGAAACGCAAGGTATGTGTCGGTAGTATTTTTAATGAATCTTCAAATTAATCCAAACAGTTCTAAGAGTCTTACCATGTTGATTTGGGGATCCAGGGGCCTGGACGATTATCAGAAGTTCCATCTTCACCAGCACAGTCAAAACGGCCTCGCAAGTTAAAAACTTCAGATGGATGAATTGGAGGGTTAGTGCATTGTCCATCTCAATGCCTGCCTTTATTTGGAGTAGTGCTTGAAAATTTAGCCATAGGATAGTACCAAATAGCTTAAATATTTTGCTTGCTTGGTAGTAAATTTTCTTAATCTCATCTACATCTGTCTTTCCTCTGCTGTGTACTCAGGACTAAAGCTACAAGGAGCTGTATAATAAGCTGCTTGAATCAACTCTTTGTCATGTGTTCTGCGCCTTTTTGAATTTGCTCCAGCATGAAAACATGATCCAGCCTTCCAAAATTTCAAACGTGGCTGTCTCATTTGAGTGGCACAAAAATGTTAGATGCCCCTCTAATGCCTATGGAGATCAGGTCCTCCTTTGCATCAGAGTACAGTCCCCGCAGTCTGTATATACATCTGTCTCTTATAGTTGTGATTAGCATGTTAACCTCACCTTTCTACCGTGTCTCTTTGGCATGTCACTAAATTATTGAGCCGTTGTTGGCTGTTTCTGTATTAACACATCAAAGTAGTTGTGCTTTAGTCGCGTTTAAATTGCTTAACCAGGATGGACTGATATGAGTTGACACTGCATAGAAGCTGAAACGGAAAGTGTAGTGATTGAGAACCATAATGTATTTGATGCTGCTGCTTCTCTTTCCGGATTATCTTCTTTTCATATATAGATATGGTTCTTGTATCTGATGGATGTAAAACTACATAGTAGTGTAGTTACATAGATGTATTAATTTATGCACTCAAATGTCCAGGGACATGTATTAGTTGTGTTTTGTTTTTATTTCATTTGTTCTACAGGTTACCAAATGCTCTTGAATGGAGATGATCTATACATTGTATGGAGTCAGCATGCAAACTGAAAGAGAATATATCTAAGAGAATAAAATACAGCTTTAGCTTAGTTATCTTACTGATTAAATTGAGGCTAAGCTTCATGATATTAATCTCCATTGACATATCTTTAAATTTTTTCCAGATGAAGTAGTTTTGAATTATTAGATGATAATCCTTTCTACATGTTAAGAATTTTATGAAGTTAAATTTAGTAATTTTGTTTCTTTGTAATCTATATATGAAGTGATATTTTTGGTATGAAGTGGATTCTACCAACCTATACTTCAAAAGTTTAAACATTTTTTTTATAAAATTAGTGAAGGTTTAATTGTGACTATCAAATAAAAAATACCTTTTTAAAGCTCTAACGTAAATTACTTGTTTAATGGGTACGTGACACTATTGAAAATCTCTTCATTTTTGTTCGATGATATTATCTTCACTTTTACTTTTTACAATAAATGAACTTTAAGTTATTTTATTATATATTTGGATATTATCAAAGTATTATTACGATGTCATTATCTATGACCGCACCAAGAGCGGGTAATTAACATGGTTAACGTATACAAAAAGAGAAACAAAGTTTTATCTTTGCTAGATATTTTTCATGCTTAATCACAGTGTCTTTCTAAGTTATTTAGTCAACCATTTGAGATGTCATCTCCTAATATTTCAACAAATGACAATCTTAATGAAGGGTACGCTGAAAAATTGAGTAAATTAAGCAAGATAATAAAAATTTAAAAACATGAGAAAATTTTCTGTGATTAGAACATGATGCATGTAGACGAAAATCTTAAACAAAACAGAAGATAAAAAAACTGGAAACGGATTCAGATTATACTATTACATGTCATTAATCATGAAATAGCAGCAACCCATACTTAAAGAGAAATCATTAATGTTTGCAGTTACAGAGGTTTATTTAGCAAGACTCGAACGTATCTTCTTCATCTCTTGTTGAATGTCCTTAAGCTTCGCCTTTAAATCATCAACTTCGCGTTCCTTAGCCTCCTTCCTCGAATTAATCAGGGACAGTTTATCCTTTAATTCTGCTATTTGTTTGTTGGTCTCTTCATTCCCTCCATCAGTACCTTTTTTCTCCATATCTGTTTTCAACCTTTGTCTGCTTCAATCTCCTACAACATGGCACATCAAATTTCGTTGGGTTTTAAAAGGTGCCAATGGTTGCGACTTTTCCAATGAATTGTGACTTTTCTGAATGGTTGTGACCTTTTCTGATAAGCACCTCTTCATATCTAATCTTCTTCTTGCTTGGTAACATCGCAAACTACAGGACATGATTATTTCCTGGCCCTAATTTGATGAAGTAAGATGAGTTTTTCAACGTTGTTTGTGCATGTTTTAATAGGAGACTAGACCAAGTTAGAGAGAAAATTCAGATGTTCTGCACAATTGATTTGCAACAATGACCTACATTATTAATGCGAACAGCATAACTGAATTGTAAAAAATACTTCTTTTTCATAATCTCCTCATGATCAATACATAATAGTGGAGGTGGGAAGAAACTTAGCCACTTCATCCATACTGTTGTTTCTTTACATAGTGAACATGTACTGTAAGTTTGCTCGAAATGGTTGGGATTATACATCTCTCCTACATAACAGACGATAGTATTGGCATTAAACTTCACAGTATGTTCAAAAGAAGAACTTCTCAAAATACTGTCGCGAAGCAAGCTAGTCAGTGAACACAACATTGACAATATCGGGGAACTTCTCTTTGATTGCTGCTTTGACTCCTGATCCAATAGACTCAGGCCCTACATACTTCACATTGCAATTGCCTTCCTCAACAGATAAAACTTCCACACTACCACCAAAATTTTTAATGGCAGGTCTTAATATATCGAGGTGAGCATTCACAGCCTGCAGGAACATGAGTTCTTAGTTAGACATTTTGAATGCAATATCATCTATTAGCACCTGAATTTGCAAAGATTCACCTCAGCAGTGGTTTCAACTACTTGTTCATTGTATACTTGGCGAATATCCTTGATGGCTTCTCCAAACTTTTCTTTGAGTACCTTTTCAATCCCCATCTTCATTGTAGTTGTTGCGCTAGGACAACTCTCACACGCTCCTATATCCATTGCATACAAAATATTAAGCATTTATGAATCCAAACGTCACCATAAATGTATCAGAAATTTCTTAAGCAAACTCGTTAGCACATTTAACAAGAAATATCATGGCGGTTGACAACCATTTCTTCTTTTTGAGATTTTGTTGAACAGTTATGTTGCTCAAGACATGTTCCAAAGGGCCCACCATTACCCTCTAACTCTAGCAGCACACACCAAATGGCACCTCACTCCTCACTCCATGAAACAACTATTGATCATTCACATGAAGTAAGCGTTCAATTGAATTCCGGATTCAAATCTATTGACAGGATAAATCCTGATTGGTATGTAATGAATCATCTGATCCTCTCTCCCTATACATTTTATTATTTCCAGTCACTCCTTCCTCCTCTGATATTCTTCTTTGGTATTTAGATGTAAATGGCTTTTAAGTCAGAGCCATGAATAGTGATTTCATGATTTGCTACAAAGTTTGTACTCTGTCTATCTTTTTCTTCTATTTTAAATTAAATGTTGTGTTTTAACCTTCTTCTGTACTTTTGGTATTTTGCTGAGTTTTTTAATATTACCCTTTGTTATAATATATTCCTCTCTTTGGGTTCTGACAAACATTGGAAAATTGAAATTATAGAATTTTAAACCACCCCAACCATTGAAAAGTTCAAACTGTGAGAGAGGACACATTTATTTATCCCCCACATTGCGGGCCTAACTTTCTTTATGATGGCACTTGGGGGGGAAATCTTTTTTTATGAGGGAGAGAGGGAAGTATTTACTAATAATGTCTCAATAAAAATAGAAACTATATTCTACACTCCGAGAAAAATACACCCTAAACACAAGAAAGAAAAACAGAAACCTGATTTTTAAACAAATGTTGCAAGCCTATCTTAATTAAATATTTTAGCTTTATGCTATCTGCTTAGCCACTCCAGTGAAGTATACTGGAAGATAGAAAGGTATCAAGAGGCATGAGGAAATAAAGATCTCTATCCTATTATGTTTACCTTGTTTAGGGGCTACTAAAGCATGTGTAGGTTTTGGAAATGTTCAACAGAAATAAGAGAGAAGAATTGGTTGTTAACCAGTATAAATATCTGAAAATTAATTATTACAAAAAAATTCAATGAACATTAATCAATAAATGTCCATTATTCATGAACTCCATTTGGCTTACCTTATTTGGCAAGCATTTTCTGCAAGCTTAGGCTGGCTTGGAACTGTTAAGCTCGGAGACTCATTTAATTCCCTATTGAGGGAAGAACAACATTATCTAATCTATTAGCAAGTATTTTACAGAAAATAAACTAAATCAAATCGAAGGAGCAAGTAGCGATTGCCGTACAACATAGTTTGGTGCTTCCAACTGCAGTTCACCCCCCCCCCCCTTTTAAAATAGTTACTCACCCCACCACACCACACCCCACTCCCCGTTTCACTTTGTTTGTCATAGTTTGGCGTGCACAAAGTTTAGTAAAGAGAGAAAGACTATCAAACTTTGTGATCTTAAGTGTGCTATAATATTTGTGTGGCTATAGAACTTCTGAAATTTGTTGTCTTGAGAACTTGCCATAACAATTTTTTTTATAAAATCTTCTCCTTAAGAAAATATAGGAATGTCAAATGTGGCATTATTTTCTGAACGGACGAATAACGAAATAGTGCCAAACAAAGTGGAAGGGAGGCAGTAGTATATACTGAGTCAAAAATTCATATGAGACTTGCTTTTAGTTTATTAAATCTCAAACTTTGTAAATAGGAACTTCGACACTAGTTTCTTGGGTTCATCTCTCTGCAGCACACATAATGTCAACTCTAATCCAGTGCTTACTCAAAACCAAGACTATAAAATCAGGATACAACTACTCTTTTCCCCAATTGTTGCTGCATGTATGCATCCCCGTATCATTAAAGTTGTTCGCGTACATTCAAGGATGGAGTGGGGACCATAGCCTTCCAGAGCTTATACTTTGTTGTTTACTAGGAGATGTAGCATCATATATTTATGCATTACACCATCCTCCTAAAATTTTCAACTTATAACTTAGTAAGCCCCTCACAACCCTGGCAGGGAGAACATAATTCACTAAACTACCCTCAATGGACTCATTGTGCACTGTTGATCGCAATCTCGCATCAAGATACTAGGTACCAGTGGGTTAGTTTAATTCTCAAAGAGGCCTGAGACAAGGTCACCCACTTTCTCCCACTTATTTCTTTTAGTTCTGGAGGGTGAGTCAGATTATTAAAACTGCTGTGAGAAGTGGCTGGATAAAAGGTTTTAAAATGGCCGGTCATTCAGGAAATTCTATAGAAACTTCTCATAGTCTTTATGCTGATGATACCTTGTTGATGTGTGAGGCTGAAAGAGAACAAGTGCTGCACTTGAGGGTGGTTCTGTTGCCTTTCGAAGCAGTAAAAATCAACATGGCTAAGAGTTCAATGTTTTCTTTGAATGTTGACGGTGATATTAATATGCTGGCTGATATCATGAATTGTAAGATTGAAAAGTTTCCTACCACCTGTTTGGGACTGCGTTTAGGCACTAAATTTTGTGTGGAGTGGTGTAATTGAGAAGTGTGAAAGTTGACTCCATGGAAGCAAATACCTATCATTTGGAGGAAGATTGACATCAGTAAATAGTGTGTTGATAGCATTCCAACCTATCTAATGTCTCTGAACCCTATGCCAACTAGTGTGGTGAAGAATATTAATAAGATCAGAAGGCATTTCCTATGGGAAGGTAATGCAAAAAGTAGAAGTTTTCATATAGTAAAGTGGAGCACTGTGATTTGTGACAAAACATAAGAAGGAAGGGGCTCTGGGAGTCAGAAATCTTAGTGCTCACAATCAAAGCTTGCTCTGTAAATGGCTACGGAGATTAAATGATGGGGTAAAAGTTCCCTGAAAAGAGGTAATTTATGGAATATAGGGTTTTGGGGCACCTAAAGCAGAGGAGACGCCATATGGAGTAGCTGTTTGGAGACAGATTTGCAATCTCTTGGAGGAATCCAACAAGTATGTTTTACGAGGGTAGGCAGTGGGAGAAAATCAGACTGGGGAAGATAACTGGGATGGTTTTGGTTTGCTAAAATCAATTTCCCAACCTATACAGATTGGCCTATAACCCAAAAGTCCTCTTAGCTGATATATTTACTGATTCAGGATGGAACTTCCAGTTCAGAAGGAATCTCTTTGGCAGAGAAATGGAAGAATTTGATTTATTTATTCAGAAGATACAATCAGTAGCATTAATTCCAGAAAGAGAAAATAGCCTAATCTGGGAAGCTAGACAAACCCCGTGTAATCCCACAAGTGAGGTCTGACTCTGGAGAAAGGGTAAGATGTACGCAACCTTAGCCCTAGGGTAGAGAGACTATATCCGATTGACCCCCAGCAACCCCCTCCTTTCTGGGGGCTTGGAACCGGCAATGTGATTGTTCTCTTAGTGTCAGCTCATTCTATAAAATAGTCGATGCTATTTAGCCGGTGCAAGTACTAAAATGACCTTGGAAGATGATCTGGAAGACTACAGCCCCAAAGAAAGTTGTTCATCTTTGGTTGGCTAGTGTCTCATGAAGCATGTCTAACTCAAGAAAATTTGAAGAGAAGGGGTTGGACAATGTGCAGCAGATGCAACTTGTGTGAGGAAGCTTGTGAATCTGTGGATCATATGCTTGTGTGTTGTGAATTTACTTGGAAAGTATGGAACATGTTCATAGCTAACTTTGGAATCCATTGGACAAGTCCTATGAAGTTCAAGAATGTGTTAAAGAAGTTTGGGGAACTGCATGTCCAGAAGCATCCCTAAAGAAGATCTGGAGAGCTATTCCTCTTAGCATAGCTTGGACTATTTGGAAAGAAATAAAAGATGTTTGAAGGAAAAAAGGAGCAATTGCAGCCTGTTAAATCTAATTGTTTGCACCACTTGTCCTATTGGAAAGATAAAAACTTTGTTATGGATTCAAAAAACATGATGGACATGCTAGACTGTTTAGGATTTTTAATGTAATCAAGCCAGCATTCTCTGTACTTTCACAGTATCAGTTAGATACTGTTTTAATAAAATCTTACCTTATCAACAAAAAAAAATAGGTAGCATAACGCATAACAGCATTCTCTAGACTAGACGCATCTTTGCCAGATTTCCGAGCCTTCTCCTGGACTAACATCACAATCTATCATCAGCATCATCTAAACTTAAAGTGCATTGGTAACTAAGTCCTATAGTAACTCTGCGAGAACCTACGATGGATAAAATCAAATAATTTCTCAGAGATATGTTCCTTTTGCCTCATTCTAACATTCCATCTTCACATCAAATTAAGTCCAGAATGAAAACACAAATGCAGACACCAGCAAAAAATTCATTGGCATGGCTCTATCATGCTGCAGACTTGGATAACCAAAGAACTTTTAACAATTTACATAGACTCGGAAATAGCTTCCCTAGAGTACAAGGTGATCAGTGATGATAATATTGTTAAATTTCTTGTCTAAAGGAGTGCAAAGTAACAAATTTTCATTAGGAAAGATGGATGGGTTAGTGATAGATATCCATAACTGTATAGGTCCAACTCAAACCTTGAGTAAAGAGTTAATTTTTGTGGCAATACAAGCATTTCATCTACAGGAACAAAAGTTCAAACTGACTCAGAAAGACAACAAAGATACCTGCTACAAATAATCCCTCAATCGACTAATGACTAATGGAGTAATATTGAAGTGCTAGCAACAAATCAAGTGAATTGGATAAACAAAAACTAACCTTGAAGCTGGAGGGAAACGACACCGTCTTCCACAGAAACGACCTCTACGTTTCCGCCATCAGAAATGAGATAAGGTCGAACATCTTCAAGAACCATATCGACGTTTTCAGGGGTGAGCTCGAACTGTTTAGCAGAGTAAAGACCTGGGGATGGAGCTGGGGCTGGGGACCCATCAATGGTAGCTTTAACAAGATTGAATCTTTTATGAGCTACGCTGAATCTCTTGAGGAAAACGGACGAGGGCTGTAGATTTTGAGACTTGAGTGGAAGTTCCGGCATGTATATTGAAGAGGAAATTTGGGAAACGCCCATTGCTGCTATATGCGCCATTGCTCTGCCTTGGACTTGTTCTTTCTAATTTTTGTTTGTTGTGGTGGTTATTTGTGATAGATCATGGACCTAATTGATGGACAAACAAAAATTGTATATAACCTCATTTATATTTTTCAAACTATCAATTTTTTTGAGTTTTTTTTTTTTTAAAAAATAATTGTTTTTTAATGTTTATTAGTCAATCAGATTGCGGCATGGATGAAAGGGAGGCTTGCATATGGGTTTTGTGTGACAAGAAGGTATCACCAAAGTTTAAAGGTATATTTTTATAGAGTAGTGGTTAGATCGGTTTTGTCGTATGGGGCGAAGTATTGGCTAGTCAAGAACTTTCAGGTTCATAAGATGTAAGTGGGAAAATGAGAATGTTGAGATGGTTGTATGGGCATAGTGCATACTAGGAGCGATAGGATGAGGACTTTCCAAACGAAATCAGAATGGTCTATATGGTGAGGGAAGGGAGATTGAGATGGTCGGGGCATGTGAAGAGGGATGTGTAGATGTCCCAATAGGGAGGTGCAAGAGACTGGATATAGTGGGTTCGGGGAGAGGCAGTGATAGGTGGAAGAAGTATTGGAGATAAGTGATTAGGCAGGATATGACACATTGTAACTTATCGAGGACATGCATAAACTTAGATACGAGAGTACGGAGGTTGTGGGTAAGGGTAAAAGGTTAGCTTTATTCCAGTCTTTGGTTGGGTTGAGCTGTTGTCGATCGTAGTAAAAAACACATTCATGTAGTCTTTAGTTTTGAGTTTTTAATTATCATATGTGGCTAATTGTGTTTAGGTGACTGCACCTTCTTGTTAATGTTACAGTTTTTTTTTTGCATATATGCTCCACGTCATTTTGCTATTAGTTGTCATGTTTTTCTTTTGATCACTGCTTTGATTTGTTTGAGTTGAAGATCTTTCGTAAGTATATGACACGCTCAAATTACACCTTCCTAAAGAAGCATAAGCGATCGTTATCAAGTAAAGAACCCAACTTGTAGGTTGGGGTCGATCCCACGAGGAAAATGGTTTAGACTTTAACCAACAATTATATTCAATTAGTCAAATTACTTCCAGAAACAAGTAATAAAAAAGGGGGGTTTTGTAGAACAAATTGTAAGAATTCAATAAATAATCAGTAATCAAAAGTCAGTTTTGGGTTGTTATCAAGATGAGTGAAATAACTAGGGTATCCGTGTTTCCCACAAGCTATTTTCCCCGGAATTTTGGAAAAAAGCCGCTTCCTCCTTGAAGGCCTAAGGAAGAGGCTCATAACGCAGTAATCTTAGTAATAGCAATCATTTCTTACTGTATTACATGCAAAGTGATAAGTTAGGTATCTTTAAATCCTTGGTCCGACATCTAGAGAATTTCACCCCACACCTTGGTCCGGCTACGTGTGTGTACTTTACTAACCCTTACATTTACCTCATATTCCCTCCGTCCCTATTTACTTGTCCATATTTCCTCTTTTAGATGTCCCTATTTACTTGTCCATTTTGACAAATCAAGAAAGGACAAAAAAAATTTTCCTATTATACCCTCATTTAAACTTCTTGAAAATTTAAACTTCCCCCAACATTAATTAGTTATCTTGAATAAATTTATTTTGGAATCATAATTAATAAGGGCAAAATTGTAACTTCACTATGCTAATCATTGTTGCCTTAATATGTGTGTCATTTCTAAAGTGGACAACTAAATAGGGACGGAGGGAGTATTAGATATCATAATCGATGTTTGGCTTAGTTATTACTTCGCACCAATCGACACTAGCCTATTAGATAGTATCACACTAAATCTATGTTGATAATTTTTTTCTTGTTGATTACCTCCTTGGTCCGGCAAGTAGCAACATGGCGAGTTCTAACATTTGCAACCACTAAAAAGACTTCTAAACGAAAGAATTATCAATGCATGCACCACACTATTCAAGAATTGCTTATTTACTATTCATACTTTGTTAATTGCTCATGGTTCCCACAACCCTAGTTGTGGAGTTTAGTTATCCATAATCATATGACTACAATTCATTGTTTTAGATGGAAGAATTATAAACTTACGTAACAAGAGTAATAAACCCAGAAATTCAACTTGAATTGCAACTCCAAAATCTTCAAAACGATCTAAGGAAATTAATAATTGCTAAAGTTGCAAGTTAATCTCCCAAGTCAAGAACTAGAATAGAATAATAATGTCTAACCCCCAAAAATGAGGTTTACATCCCTATTTATAGAAAACAAGTCATAAATAAAAAGGGAAACAAAATAAGGAAAGTTTGTTACAGGCACGCGTCTTCATTCCACGAGACTGACTCACGGACCGTCAATGGATCTACGGTCCGTGAGTCCCTTCCGTCAGCCAGGACTTAGAAAATATTTCAACTTCCAAAAATCAGCTTCTCTGAAGCAAACGACTGTTACGACCTGATTTCGAAAACTAAGGTTTCGAAACCAATTTCGCAACTTTGGCAACTTTTGTTATGTTTTGGAAAAATGAGTTATTTGGAGTCGCCACTTAATTCTTTAGGAAAAATTAAGAAAACCATTTTAAAAGGAATTTTTTGAAAGGAAATATTTTAAATAAAACATTTAATAAACCAGAGTCGGGTAAGAGTTCAAATAATTCTCTAAGGAAGGGTTTAGGCATCTTAGAGAATCCGCTAACACGCGGTTAACCGACGGATTTAAAGGTTGGCTAATTTGAAAAGATAACTTAAATTACTTGAAAAAATCTTATTTTATTATTTTATTATTTAATTTTGTTATATATATATATTTATTTTTTGATAAATGAGAAATCTTTTGATACTTGTACATTCATATTATCCCAATTAATGAAATAATTCAAATGTTGAAGTGCCAAAATAATAATTTAACTTAACATTTTATCCGAGTCAAGTTTTTGAGTCGAAAAATCAACACAATAACTTAAGCGTGGATTTGAAAGCTAAATACTAACTATGAAAGAATATAAGATAATTCTCAAGTTAGTCTTGAAAGCTTAGAGTGACTTAACTAAAACGGGTTTTGAAAATTTAGATATTTGAAGTAAACAACTAACGAAATAGAAAAGTTATTTTAAAAAACTCCCAAGGATTCATCTAAATTAGATAAAGCGTTAATTCACAATCAATCAATAAACAAATAATAAGACAAATAAAGGAAAAGAGCATGTCTCCAAATCAAGCCATTGGACTTAATGTTCGGACCACTTTTGTCGCTTATGCTCAAATTGGACCTTTAAGTCCTAAATTCCAAAATCTTTAGCCCTTTGCGGGCTGCTCTACTGCTGTAAATTGGACTAATTAAAGTCCAAAAATTTCCAATTTTAGTTCGTTTGGGACTGCTGGCTGCTACTGCTGCAATTGAATTGGATTTTAAAATCCCAAAATTCAATTTTCGGCCATTTGGGATTGCCATTACACCGCTACTTAGCTGCTGCCACTGATTTGGGATTTGACCCATTAATATTAGCTTCCCTTTCACGATTCCGATGAGGTTGACTCGAAGAGAGTTGAATGCAAACCAATGGAGAATCCAAATGGACTCGAACAAGAAAGTTCACACAAAGAAAACAAACGAAATAAGGATTAGCGAGTTTGAATAGAGCAATAATTCAAATTCATTTTATTATGGTCAGACAATAAGGATCCATGAACATGGGAGAAATAAATGAGCAAAATGCAACTAACTATTCATTTAGCCAACGCACGCGGCCACACATAGTAAACATAAATGGGCTATTCGCTACTATCATGGGGATTTTTAAAGTTAACTATAATAGCCAGCTAGCAGCTAACCCAAATAGCATATCAATATAACTAAATAGAAATTAAGGATGAAAGAACCAATATTAAATGCAACAAATCACCCTACTAAAACATCTCTAAAGCAGCTAATTAATTAAGAATTCCACAAACTGTTATTTAAACAAGGGAACCCATTGCTAACTATATTCAACAAAGTTTAGCTAAATTTATTCATTTTTAAAGTAACAATAAGCGATACTAGAGAGACACATCAGAGAATGTTAAATAAATTCCAAACAAACTTTAGCAAAGATTAAGACAACCAGCCATATGGAGCATATGAAACTCAATTATTACTTTTCTTTTAGTGAACATGCTAAGAAGGGAAAAGAAAAACAAATAGCTAGCAGAATAAATAAGTTGTTGGTCAAAATAAGAACAAATAGAGCTTAACATAAGAGCTACTCTTCATAAACGAGGGTGAAGTAATGCTAGCTATCAACCATCCTCTTTTTAGCAAATATGAATTTAATGTTAAACATAAAATATAAACAAAGAACTAAACAGTATCTACGACAAACAAGAAAATTAGTTGTTTTACTAGTTACTAAGACATCAGAATGGACAGCAAACCAAAAATCAAAATTACTAACAGATACAACAACTAAACTGATCTAATCCAGTCATTCAACACACAACCAAATAATAAAAATATTTAAAAGAAGGAAGAATTACCTTTCACTGAGCAGCGAGCTAAAACGACGAGTTGAGAAGACGACTCCACCACCCCTTTCAACTCGAACAACCACAAAAATTGAACTATTGAACCAAGGTTTCCCAAACCTTTTAGGGGTACTCTCAGGTTTTCCTCCTTCCCCTTTGAACAGTGAGAAGAAGGCCTATTTATAGGGCCTAAAATCTCTAAAAATTGGAAAGATTTTCGATGTGGGATTTTTGAAAAATCCCTTAACATATAAGGGTTGCCAACTGGTTAGTGTACGAGTTTGAATGGAGAGGCGTTGATTTTGAGTGAAGGACGATCGAGGCGCGAGATGCAAACACCTGGCTCGATCGAGAATATTCTTGTACGAAGAGAGGGAGAGGACGACGCGGGCTACGTGCGATTTTGGAGAGTTGCGTCGCGTACTACTGGAATTTCTGGGTTTCTGCTCGTCTGGTCACGCGAGGGAGAAGACGCAGCAGGGGTCGCGCTTGAGTTCTGGGTCAGTCGGGTACTGTTTGGTGTTGCTGATCGTGTGTATTGTTGTATGTAGCTGATGGGTTGTATGAGATTGGGCCAAGATTTGGGAAAAGGGTTTATTATAAA